GGGGTGCAGGAGAGGCGTGGACAGGGGCCCGCAGGGCAGCAGCCCGCACGCCGCGCAGTTTGAGGCGAGGCGGAAGCTGCGTGCCGTCGTGCGTGCGCGACGTGCAGCGAGCCGCGGCGGTTGCGACGCAACGTGCGTTTTGGGAGCGTAGCGCTGGCTCGCTGAAGCCCTGCTCCTTGCAAGCGGTCCAGGGTGCTGCCCCCTGCTCACTTGCAAAGAAGATGATCTTCTCGGTGTCTCCGCTGCGCACCAGCGATCGCATCGCCTTGACCCGATCACCCGCCTGGCGATGAAGGGGCGAGCGGGGGTCGTGAGCCGTGCGGCAGGTGCGTGAGGCGGCGCGAGTGATGGGCTGCACGGCCTCAAGCAAAGGGCGGGTGCGGGTATGCAGCGCGAGCTCGCACGACTGGGCGATCGTTACAAAGGCCAGGTGATTGCATTGCGCATGGCGGTCGCATCGTTTGGCGCTTTGGGTGCGGCGCTCGGGGTTTGTGGTACAGCCTTAAATCCTTGACCCCTGGGCCCATTGGGATCTACCTGAGTGAACTTTTTGGTGGCCAGGTGGTATAGGCCCTGACGCTTGGCGGCCTGCGATTGGGCCAGCAGCAGGGGCAGGGACTGAGGGTGGGAGGTGGGTTTGGGGCAACACCACGCGGCACGGCGACGCGCATGGCACGTTTTCACATGCCCGTTCAAATCCAACTGCATTGCGCGCCTGCGCCGTGTGTCTCAACGCGCCTTGGCGATTCGCAACAGGACGGCCTGGCGCTCCCCGGCTGCCACGGGCGACCCGCCGTCGTCCTTCTCCGGCGTGAGCGCCTCTGCCAGCTCGTCACTCAGGGGGACGTCATGCTGATGTCACGATGATTTCACGTATAAGGGGGATCAAGTAGGTGCAGTCGGGTGCCCAAGAGGGGTGAGAGCGGATCGTGATTCAGGACAAGACCAGTCCAGCGGGGACTGCCGCAGAAAACACCGCCAGTTCATCAGCTGTAGGAAGGCAGGCAGGCAGGGGCCCGGCTGAACCAGCGACGCGTCTTACTAGCCGGCCCGGCCCACGGCCCGCGCCAAGGGGGATTTTGGCGAGGCGTTGGCCGGCACAGGGCAGCAGGCCAGTTTCTGAGGGCTTGCTGAGACCCAACCGCAACAAACCTGGAATGACACGTGTTGCCTTGATATACCCCCTGCAACCCCAAACAACCCCAAACATTTGACCACCCCACAGCCCCTCACCTGCTCTATGAGGTCAAGGGCGCGGTGCAGCTCCCCGGCGCGCGCAAACAGCCGTGCGGCGCGGTCGTACTGCCCTGCCGCCATGAAGGCGCCCGCGGCCCTGGGGTGTGCGGGCGGATTCGATTTGCGGCAGACCGCCCGCCCCCTCTAAGCCGCACTGCACGGGTCTCGGGACATGAACCTACCCAGGGGAACCCCATGCATACTGACTGCAGCTGTCCCCGATTTCAAAGCACACCACCTGCACCTGTGGTGATCAAATCCGACTTTTGTGTCCGTGAGCAATCCTGCTACCAGGGTGCGTCAACAAGAAACGCACCTGGCCTGAAGTCCCGCGTCCCCGCCGGCCCCCACCACCCCCGCAATCTCGTCCATTACGCCGTACAGCCCCGCCGCCTGAGCCACCTCCAACGCGCGCGCCGCGCGGCCGGCCTTGCGGAACAGCAGCGCCGCGCCCTCGGGGTTGCCTGCGGTCACACGCAGGTCAAAGTCCGTGCCGCCATGCGCGTGTGCGTGCTTGCTGAGCTTGCGCGCGTGTGCAAGCGACGGGCAGCGGTCTGGGTGAGCAGCTGTGGCGACACAGGCGTGACCAGATTGCCACGCCACAACCTCTGCTCATGCAAGGCAACGGAGTGCTGCTGCTATCCTCCAGCTGCAGAAGCAAAAGCGTAGTTCTTCGGCGCTCAAGGGTTGCGCCCATCGCGCTGTCGGGCACAACAAATGCGGCAACCCCTGATCATGGATACCGCGAAGACCCTCACCCTCTGACAGGAGATAGTCTGCGGCGTCCAGGGCGATCGCGGCGGGGGACTGCAGCGCCAGCGACAGCAGCTCCTTTTGCATGCCGTACCTGTGTCGGTTGAGGGATCGGGCCGTGTGAGGCCGGCGCAGGTCCCCTCCACACTTGAGCGGTGGAATGCAGCCGGTGCTGGCAGCGCGAGCCACCAGAAGCGAACTCTTAAATTCAAGGCAGGCCGGCAGACCCCTTACGCTGTCCCCTCCTCAGCAGCTCCCTAGTGTCCACACTCTACACGCAACTAGAGCAATGCCGCCCGCAATCATTAACACCTGCAGCATGCGCCCCTCGTCCAGCAACGGCGCCGCCGCCCGCCCTTTCCCCACCACCCCACCTCTTGGCGAGCCGCGCGCCGTGCGCGGGGCGGCCCGAGAGCGCGTAGTACCTCAGCGCCTCCTCCACTCGCTCCTCCGCCTCGTGCAGCCGCGCAAGGTGGAACGCGGCCGCGGGGTCGCGCCCCGACGCGACCAGCTGCTCGGCGGCCGCCCAGTCGCCGGTCGCGCAGTGGATGCGGCAGATGGCCAGGTGGTTGCCTGCGACACACAGTGATGGAGGGGCAGACAAAGATGCGGCCTCGCGTCACTCAAATCCGACACTGTCTAGCTTATCACCTGGACATGCATCTTTATAAGCACGTTCGCCTTGTTTGTGCCGTTTCCAAGCAGCCCAAACCCAGCCGGTGCAGCAGGACCCCAGGCCCGGCAGTCCGGCGGGTCGATGCCCCGCGCGGTGGCGCCGCGCTGCCCACCCGTGCGCTGGTAGCAGAGGAGGGCCTTGGACCAGGCGCCCTGGGACTCGCAGTAGCGCGCCCACCACGTCATCAGGGCGGGGTCGGACTGCTTCATGACGTAGCTGAGGGGTGCACAAGCGCGGGCGCGCGCGTGTGAGGGAGCAATCAGATTGAAGACAGCTCAGCGTGTGCAGGTGCGGGTGCTCGTGTAAGAGTCCGATCCGAGACGGCGCACGTAAGGGGCTGGAGCGGGACAGAGTGAAGCAGGGGGTGTTGAGGGGTCTACTGGTTGGCTCAACGGCACGGGAGCCGCCTCGAGCGCGATCAAAGGCACCCTGATCTTCAATGACGCAGCCGGGCTGAGCGGCGCACCCGCCGCCTGCAGCCTGCAGGGCAGCCCTGGACCAACCCTTAGATTGCCTGACTTCGCAGGAGCCAGTTGGGGGGCCCAAGGAGATCTTACAGCTTCAGCCCTGCAGGCAACCCTTTACCCAACACAACGCTCCCGAATTCCAGTCATCGCAGGCCGCTCACCCCTCCAGCTCCCCGGCGCGCCCGTCCTGGAGCATCATACGCGGCACCTCCTCCGCCGCGGCGCCGGCCGCCTGGTAGTGCTCAGCAGCGCCGGCCGTGTCGCCGCAGCGCTCCAGGTGGCGCGCCAGCTCATAATGCACCGCCTTGAGGCGCACCCTGGGAGTGGGGGTGTGTCGTCGGGCAGTCGCCAGGAGGGGCGCTGACAGGTGATGCGCGACTGCTGCCTTGCGTTGCGCTCGTGCAGCAAGGGGCCCGGGCGGACTCGGGCTCAATAAGCTCAATTCACAACACCAGTGCAGATGCCAGCCTGCGATCAATGCTTGTGCCGTCCTGTGGGTGCGTTGAATGGCGGGCTGCCGCCACTGCAGAGGCAGGTGCACCCCAGGCAGCTGCCAGTCCACTGTCCAGGCAGCTACCCTTGCACTCCGGGCAGCTGCCAGTCCACTGTCCAGGCAGCTACCCTTGCACTCCGGTAAAGTGCCCCGATGCCCAAATAAACAACGACCCTTCGTTGATCAGCAGATCAGCGAAATTATTAAAGCGTTGATCGACGACTAGGCGCCCACCTGTCGTGCGCCTCTGCCACCGCCACTGCCTGCTCCCACTGCCCGCCCGCCGCCCGCAGCGCCGCCAGCTGGTCCCAGCGCCCGCATCCCGCGTACAGCCGCGCGGCGTCGTCGGCCAGGCCCAGATGCACCGCCACCGCGGCCACGCGGGCGTCGGGCTCCTGCAGGGCCGCGCTCTCGCGCAGCGCGCGTGCGCCACGGGCGTGCTCCATGTTGCCCAGGCAGTGCTCTGAATGTTTGGAGGGTTGGATAGGGGAGGTGGGGGAGTTTTTTGTGGGTGTCAAGGGCTGGCGGCAATCTGGTGTGTGTGGACGTTCAGACGGCTCTTGTTTCTGCAGCAACACAGGGGTGCTGCCGCTGCACGCGTGACACCTGGATCATGGGCTGATGGCATCATCACATCATACCCAGGGTGACGCCGCCATCAACTGGGGTGTGTCATCGTGACATCAACCCCGAATACGCATCTCAAATCACACGCATTCACACGCGCCATGCGTGCGCGCGTGCAGGCGGGAAAAAGCGCCCACCCGCCACGTCAAGGCGCTTGCTCTTGATTGCCATGTGCGCCATGTTCCGCCACACCGCAGCGCTGCTGACGCCCGCGACCGCGCGGAACGCCTCCTCCAGCCGGCCCCGCGCCAGCTGGAATGAGAACTCCACCAGCGCAGACCTGGTGGCGGCGTCCGCGTCCTGAGAGTGCAAGGGTTCAGGGTTCAGGTTGGGTTCAAAGGTTAAGGGTTTAAGAGCGTTTCAAGGATCAGGATTAGAATTGTTGAAAGTTCCAAGCAACTTGGGGTGGGGTGGGGTGGGGTGGGGGGTGAAGGAG